TTTTAAAATAAATTATTAATAAAAAAATATTATATTACAATATAAATTATTTATCATGAATTTAAAATTTAATTTATATATTTAATTATAATATATATATAATTTATTTTAAAATTTAATTATGTATAATAAACATTTAATTTATATATTGTACATGCTAAAACACTAGTTAAAATATTTGTATAGAAGAAAACTCTATGCAAAATTTGATTTTAAAGATTCAAATTTTATTCAATATTTTAAAAATTAAAAGACTGTTCTTGCAAAGCTAGTTACAAAATCCCTTTACAAAGAATCAATTCATTTTGGTTTGTTTGTGTTTAATAACACACTTAATAAACATGTCTATTTTATTTTAAAAAAATTATGTTATTGGTGCACTTTGTGGAAAAATCTGATCATCTTTAGTGATTTTTTTTACTTAAATAAATTTTAATATCTTATTTTATTTATGATCAATTAAAAAATGTACAATGATAATAATGAATATTAAATCTAAATTTTATGCATCTATCATGATCTCCGAACACTTAACTAACCTTAATAGTTTCAATCTCTTTGAATATATCATTTTTATTTTCATTTTTAAATTGAATTTCAACAATTTTTAATAAAAATTATAAATAGTTAAAAATATTTATATATCACAATATAATCATTTATTATAAATCTAAAATATTATTTATATTTTTAAATATTTATTATATTATAAATTTAATTACATAAAATAAACAAGTATCTTATACATTGTAGAATCTAAAATACTACTTAAAAAAACATAGAAGATAAAAAGGACAAAAAGAAAAAAAAATGGCATTGCTTAAAAAAATTTCGACTACATTTAATTATTTTTTTTAATGAGAAATAGTTTTTTTTTAGTAATAAATTATACCTTTAAGTTGTGTAAAGGTTAAAATAATTTTTTAGTCCTTATAACCTCACTTCCTTTACCTTTTAGTTTATATAGTTTAAAATAAATATTTTTAGTCTTTAAATTTATTTTTTTCAATCTCTTTCATTCTCTATATTTTAAAATAGATCTTTTTAGTCTCTATACCTGCATACATACATACATACATACATATATATATATATAT